GCCTTCGGTAATCAAGGTATTCCCACTCAGTACATCAAGATAATTCGTGAGCTCTATAGCGACTTCACGACCAGCGGCACACCATCCTACAAGAACATCATCATTAACATGAAGAGAGGTGTACGACAGGGCAATACTATATCGCCGGATTTATAGCGCCACCCTCGAGAACGTCATGCGGACGTTAGAATGGGACGAAATGGGAGTGAAAATCGACGGCCGGCAACTACATTACCGCTTTGCTGATGGTTCTTCCTGCTTTGTACGCTTTAAAACATGAACAATGAGGGAGCAGGTTGAACACGCGCTCAGCGTTATTGAACGTGCTGTTAAGAGAGCGATGCTAGGAACCGACTCACGCAAGTGAGGCAAGGATTACGAAGTTTCAGTTTCACCTTACGTCAAAGAAAGAAAATTAGGGACGCTGCCGCATACGCCAAGCAGAATAAGATAAGATGGGCCGAACACGTGATGCGTTTTGACGACAATCGGTGAACGAGAGCTGTAACAGACTGAATACCATTGGACGTCAACGCGAAGGAGAAAGACCGCCGGCACTATGGTCAGATGTGTTCACGAAGTCCTTCAATGAAGTCCTTTAAAACGTTTCACGTGTTCCTGGTGCTATACGCAGACATTAGTCAACAATCGCCCGCGACAGGGACGAATGGAGGCATCACTGGTACCAGCTCGTGCAACAAGATGAACAACGGGGATACAGGTGATACAGGTAAAAGTTAGCGTTGGCATTACTTATTGCGTACCAGTAATCGGTCGTGCGGCGTCGCTAAACTCGGATTTCTTGAAGGATTTGCTGAAGATTTTCGAAAAAGTTTGGAAATACTCATTTTTCAATTTTTGAGGAGGTAGAAAATTGCTTTTTTTAGTCTTTTTTTAAATTTTTTGAAGCTGAACAGGAAGAGCGGCATTTTCTCAGTTATAAATGTCCAAAGTCTATTCATCCTGATAGCAAAGGCTCGGCAATCGTTTCCGCTAAGAATTTTTACATAGGTTAGATGGACCGCAGCGATTTTAAATTTTGTTTCAAGATTTTTCGGCTCAGAAACTTGTCATGATTCAAAAGTCATGATTCGATAGGCACCAGGGCCCAGCACGATGTGAGCAAATGACGGGCTGGAAATCGTTGGGTAAAAAAGCAAAGATAATATCGTTTTTGCGGGGTCCGGGGCGAAGCCCCGGAAAAAAACATGGTAGCACATTTTCTGTGCTTTCTGCGACCTAGAGTACGCGTCACACCTCACCGTCGCTGAATGCCGCACGCGCGATGTCGCTCACTGATGCCTTTTGGGACAGCATACATGATTAGTTTATAATGCATGCATAACGATATAATGCCATATTCATAAGCGAACAAAGAGAAACTAGTGGAAACAAAGTTTGAAAGATCAAGACTTATGTAATGGAAGGAGTCATAAGCATTTTATTTTGCATAAGTAGTAAGTGAGGATGTGAAATAAAAGGGTTAAGTTTGCAACGCGCAGATTACGATGTGCTATGAAACTTGGTAGGTGCATGAGCACGGGACTGCAGGGGTTAAATGAAAAGTTTCATTAAAAAACTATGTGACTGAAGGTTGTGGCAAGCTTTTTTCTGAAAACTCCCGCTATTAAAAAATGGAGAAATGGCTCGTTTGCAACGCAGAGATGACGAAATCGCGCTATATTTGGTTTGTATACGCGCAGTATGACTAAGGAACAACGTTTGAAGAATTATGAGAAACTTATGTGAATGAAGTGCGTGAGGTGGCAAAACTTCAAATTTACATGATTTTTCAAAATTCTACACAAATCTGTTCTACACCTAAAGTATAGCATATGATAGCATTTTGCTTTCAAAACTCCTCCTCTTCTCCTTGTTAGGATCAGGAATGGCAACGACGCCGATCCTTTGGCGGAAGAAAGCTTGCTCTAACCGGACAGCTTACGCAGCTGGCGCGATCAGGTGGAAAATCGTGATGATCTGTAGAGGCAAAGGCGAGGTCGTTTCACCGATGCCTCTTTGACACCCTAATGCTGGTCTCTGATAGACACTTTATAGTATAAATCTTTGAAGACACTTTGTAAATCTGCAGAAAATTTCGGTTTCTGTGGTTCTAGGACCGAAAGCACCAAAAGAAAAAGCTTTGAGATTTGGTCTCTTAAATTCAAGGCATTGAATTTCTAAACGAACTCACTTCAATTGAAAGGAAAGGATGCACAAGAAATAAGAGAAGAGCTTTCAGATAATAGGTGCGTGAGAGTACAGATTTGTCAACAAAACTAGCGCGATTTTGAAGAAGATAAAAGTCGTTTTTTTTTTCCAAGAAATGTATTAGAAAGAAGTGGGGCCATCAAGTGCAAAAAAGGTATTAGGTTGTCCGGAAATTAATGCAGGTTTGAATTCCAACCGCAATAAGTCATACACTTCTCATTTCTAAGTAGGTTGCAATGCATCATTCGATAGAGCAAAGCAAGCTCTACAAGATGGCAGTCTTGATTTTGCAACAGCTCACTAAAAGATTCAACTACTCAAAAAATCGAGAAAAATCGTAACTCAGTTCATAAAGGTCCTACAAAAATTCTAATTCGCTCACGTAAACACTATCCACATAAGACATCTATGTACGCCGTTGCCGTATTTTTTTCTCGGTTAGAAACCAAGAAAACGAAGATTTTCATGTTTCTGCCAAAGTGATCCTGTGCCGTTCCCACATAAGAGTTGTATACTACTTTACCTGTAGAAGTACAAACGTAAATTTCCAGCTCTCTACAAGCTTCAGTTCTCGAGAAATTTGAATTTTAGCTTGAACCACATGACTAGGAAAAGTGTATTCGATATTTCTCGAAAACTAAAGCTTGTAGAGAGCTGGAATTTACGTTTGTACTTCTACAGGTAAAGTAGTATACAACTACTTATGTGGGCACGGCACAGGATCACTTTGGCAGAAACATGAAAATCTTCGTTTTCTTGGTTTCTAACCGAGAAAAAAATGCGGCAACGGCGTACATATACGTCTTATGTGGACAGTGTTTACGTGAGCGAGTTAGAATTTTTGTAGGATTTTTATGAACTGAGTTACGATTTTTCTCGATTTTTTGAGTAGTTGAATCTTTTTAGTTTTTGGCTCGAAACTCGTGGTGGACTAAAGCTGTTGCAAAATCAAGACTGCCGTCTTGTAGAGCTTGCTTTGCTCTATCGAATGATGTATTGCACCCTACTTAGAAATGAGAAGTGTATGACTTATTGCGGTTGGAATTCAAAACCTGCATTAATTTCCGGACAACCTAATATTATTTCGGAAATGTCTCTGAGGACACTCTCGTTCGGTTGCTAACAGCGTCCTTTCCCTTTCCTTGCCGCTTCACAAGTCTGTCCTTTTGGGTATGACCAGGGTCAAGCAAAGGGTGTGGCACACGATCGCTGGTTACGACCCCCCCTAATTTTATTTTTTATTTTATTTTATGCATACACTCATGGTGCACCAAAAAAAACGATTGAACAGAAAATCAGGCAACACAGAAATTAGACAAAGGATCAGCCAATCCTCAGTCACAGAAGGAAGAAGAGATATATAAATGGAAGAGACCAAACAAAACAAAACAAACTGAAGCCCTATAATAACGATGTAACCATTTATTGCGGCTTAGCAACGGAAAAAGCGCTATGTCCAGAATAGTCTACAGAATCTTGCTTCTTCTAAAGTTAATGAAAACCCTGTTTTTTGGGCGTCAGCGAGCCTCCCGGCAAAAGCTAGCTGACTTAACCCCGGCTCAATAATTGCTTTAGAAGAGAGCAAGATTCGTTGGAAGTTGTAAGGATGAACATCTACCAACTATGCGCGACTCTATGCGACACAGGTGGGGTGGAACTGGGCTACGGTAAAGGGATATGCTGTGAGCTCAAGATTCTGATGAATGAGGCTGGCTGATCTGATCATTAGTGGAAGCACTATGGTTAGTAACAGAACAAACAATGCAAAAAAGCAGTCATTCTCTATCCTTGTGTGGACTATCCAAGCGAAGCGAACCAAAAAGCATAGCACCAAATGATCGAAGGACGAACTGAGGCAGTACGAAGAACGCAAGCACCACATTTGAACAAGGCTCATCTAAAAATCAGAAATATCAAGAAGCTGAAGCACATTCACATCTTGCAATTTTTTACGAAAAATTTTTGAGTTTTCTGGATATGATGTGATTTGGTAATGCAGCAAACCATCTAGACGTTCGATAGGTGAAAGAATTGAAAGTCATCAAAAGATGTTTTCTTCCTAATTTGCGATATTGCAAACCAAACCTACCTGTTCGGTCACTGCACGGTCTAAAAATCCAGTATTTACTGGCTTTTAGGTTAGTTTCTAAATTCAGAATCCGAAAGCTTAGTACAAGTTCGTTAACAACACGCCTATACTTCAGACTATGGAGGTGTAGCATATCGAGAAGGGTACGATAGGAGGGTAAGGCATGAGGACATCCTGGATTGGGAAAGCATCGATAAAAAAGGATCCTCGTGAAAGTCTTTTAAATTTTTTCAACTTTATCAATGTTTCTTTTCAAAAAAGGATTCCAAATGGGCGATGCATACTCGAGATGAGGTAGCGCGTAACTTTTGTACAATCGCAAGAAAATTTCCGGATCATTACTATGTATATTTCTAAAAATTGTAAAAAGCGTTGAAGACGACTTTTTGATGACAGTATTTACATGAGTATCAAAAGTAAGAGAATTGTCTATCATAACGCCAAGATCGCGAACTGAATTAGAGATTTCCAGATTGATACCATTGTAATTGTAGGTACAACACTGGGAATTCCCAAGGTGCATTACCGTAGTCTTAGAGGCATTTACAGGAATACCCCATTTTCTGGACCATATCTCCATTCTTTTTATGGATGAAGAGAGCGCCGTGAACGCTTCACTCTGTTGATTAAGGTCGTAGCAAAAATATATTTTAATGTCATCTGCAAACATCTGAATTTTCAAATTCCGATGGGTTTTCAGGTAATTAGGCAATTCCGCGACGTAAGTAAGGAAAAGCAATGGCGAGAGAATGCCACCCTGGGGTACGCCACTACTACAATGATAACGATCTGAAAAGTCTTCTCCTACACGAACAGTCATTCCCCTATCATGTAAGTAAGATGCTAACCAAGACAGGAGAGTCCCTCTTATGCCGTAGTTTTCTAGCTTGTTTAGGGGTTTGCTATGATTTACTTTATCAAAAGCTATTGAGAAGTCGAAGTATATGATGTCCACCGACTGTCCGTTATTTAAGGCACTTATCCAATCAAAAGTAGAATCAACTAGTAGGGTTGTGGTGGAACAGCCCGGTAAAAAACCGTGTTGTTCAGGAGGAAGGATATTATTTTTATCAATCCAGTCATATAGCTTAGCTCGTATTATTTTTTCAAGCATTTTTCCCGCAGGAGGCATTATGTTTATGGGGCGATAGTTTGACAAGGTGTTCTGTTGCCCTTTTTTGGGGATAGCGATGATTGCTGTTTTAATAAGACCCCCCCCCCCTGAAATATATAATTAAGATAGCATTACCAGAGTTGAGAAAGAGGTCAGGCACAAGTCCTTCGAACCCCCCTCCCCTCCCATGAAAGCCCTCAAACGACCCCTTCTTCCTCCTCTTAACCTCTGGACCTCAAAGTGTGACATTCTGGAGGACGCCATCTTTTTCTAGAGAGTTTTCAGATTTCTGAGAACTGTACGTCCGATTTTCTGTGACTGCACTTTACAATCACACGTAATTTGACGGCTGATTTTGATCTGAATGGGCATATTGAAAGGGCCATAATTTTCTTATGTGTGGGGCGTTCGGCTCCAAATTTCTAATGTAGCAAGAAGAAGCTATGTGCGGCAGCCGCAGCTTTTAAGGGGGTGTGCCGCACCCCCTTAACTTGCCTTTAAAATCCAGCGCTCCATTGCTGGTTTAAGTATTGAGCACATAGCTTCTTCTTGCTACATTAGAAATTCAAAAAAACATATTTAGCGGACAGTATTTATATGAATCGATAGCCTAAACCTTGTAGATTCCATAGGACTGTTTGCAGTTTGATTTGTCTTCTTAGCTCTAAGTAATATTTGGTGAAAGCACAGCGATCAAAAGCGAAAAATGGGAAAAACGAGATTTTGGTTGGCTTCTAATTCCGCAGTTTGCAGGTCTTCTAAAGCGGGATTCCTGAGGTGGACAAAGAAGGAGTAGTGCTTTGTCTTGAGTGCAAAAACGGATAGCTAATTCACCTTTGAAACAAAGTTAACCATGTTGGAATTTGACCATTTCATTTAGGTAGCCTATTTGAATCTTCAGAATTCGCTCACACTTTGTCTGCAGGGGTTAATTGACATGCTGATTATGGATATGATACGAATATCATGTTATCACTATTATCAGATTACCCAACTACGACCCCCCCCTTTGACTCCTCAATACGACCCTCCAGGTGTGGCGTGCCGCACCCCACGCTTGACCCTGGGTATGACTGATTTCAAACTTTGTTGCTTCGAGTGTTCGATGTTGGCGCCTCACGTCAGACTGGTTTTGACATGCTGTAGCAGCCTTACACGTTGATGTACATGCTGCAATAATTTCCTTTTCTCAACCTAAAGTATCCATGGCTGCGCATGTGTTCAATAAAAGTCCTCAGAAAGGAGGACTTTTATTGCTGGAGGTAGGCAGCCATGCGATTTATATAGGCAAGCGGGCACCAAAAAGTAGTTCGCTAATTTCTTGCGGCCCGCTTGCAGATACTTGGCGTCAGAGGACGATAGCTGGGCTGGTAGTTATCTGGTCCAAGCTCCGAGTTTAAAGCTGCGCGTTAACTCACGGGGAAAGGATGCTTAATGAAAAGAACCAGATAAGACATAAATCATTTTTAAACGCTTGAAATTTCAAATCTGTATCTCCTAGCAGCGGAGCGGTTTTGCGGAAGGAATTTTGAGGGAGTTTCCCTCTGGGGCTGAGGCGTTCTCCACCAGGTCCCCCTTATCTATGAGCACTTTAGAGGAGTACCGGTTGGTGGCAACTGGCCTAGTGTTAAGTAATTTGAGTGAATTCAATGAGGATCATAATACTCGTATTACCTTGGTTTTTTAACACCTCTAACTTCAATTAGCATCAATATCATCAAAAATCTCGGGCATTAGGGTTTAGTCATTTAGAAGCTCAATTTTGTAACAGTTGCGATAAAGTTGCATGCGAAAGGGATTAAAACATTGACACTCTCCTCATCAAGCAAGTCACTCACCTTTAGGCCAGTTGACACCAGTTGGTACTCCTCTACAGTGCTCATAGATAGGGGGAGACCTACTAGGGGGCGCCTCAACCTTGGAGGAAAACAACCCTCATAACTCCTCAAAACCGCTCCGCTGCTAGAAACTACAGAGATTTGGAATGTAAGAGTTAACTCTGAGTTTTACAACGAAACTCAGAGTTAACTCTAACGAGGAGGGTGTTCCTAGTCAAAAGCACCAATCTAGATGAGACATATATCGTCTGAAAGCGCTTGAAACGCTGATTCCAAATCTGTAGTTTCCTCGGAGTTTCATACTGCTGCTTGTGGAGCCGTAATTGTTGGGGAGCTACCACATGCTTCATCGCAAAACATTGGGACTAGGTCGGAATCATAGGTGTTCATGCATGTAAGTTGTAAGCAACGAGTACTCATGGCAGCGTCGTGCCTCTTGACGCGGATTCACCAAAATACCTATACGTCAGTGGCGTACCGAGGACGCCTCCCTCCCGCCGAGAATGGGTCGCGAAATTTGAAAGTTACTTAAATGTGTTATAAAAATGTGCAAGCGATCTGTTTTTGCTTATAAATAATTGAAGTAATTTATGAAAAATTTTGAAAATTCAATTTAGCCTTGTAAAAAAATTTTTTTCGGAGGCGTGGCTACCGCCACTCCCCCTTTCTCTAAAATTTTGGGGTTAGGGGGGCGCAAAAGTTTAGTAAAGCATCCCAAAAAAACTACGGAGTGCGTGGCTAACGCCAAGCACCTTTATCAGAAAATGTCCCCCCCCCCCCTCGAGCGGAAATCCTGGGTGCGCCACTGCTATACGTACTCCGCTCTTCCACTCTCAACCCCCACTTACGATGTCATCTTCTATTTAGAAAATTCCAACCTTAGAAGAATTGATCGTCTTCAGCTGTATTCTTAAATAGGATAATTAGCGAAGGTGACAGCTTCATTGACAAAACATAAATTAAGTACCAAAATTCAGCTAAAAGCTCTCGAACTTGAACATAAGGGACATGTAATAACCATGTGTGATAAGAAACACATCATAAAATCATCTAAATGCCTCTATCATTTTGATAACACTGGCTATCGGGTGGCTGATGAGTGCTCTTTTATTCGAATATTTCGTTCATTCGACAACTCGGAAGAATAAATTATGCGAATGTTCGAATATAAAATAATAAACAAATAATAATAATATGTTAGGTTGAACCGAAAGTTCGTTCGCACCATTTTCAAAAAATCATAACTTCTTTCCGTCACGACGATTTTGCGAAATCTAAGCTTTATTAGAAATCGTGAAGCATGTAGTTTCCAACAGTCCCCTGGCGACTTTCCAGCATGTTCAGATTGCAGAGATAAAAATGAAAGAACGAAAACATCCGAAATTCGGAATTTTTGAGAAACAATTCCAAAAATCTAGAAACTGCGCGATAAAATCCGGAAAAGCCATTATCCTAATTCTTCTTATATTGTCGTTTCAAAAGTAATTTCGCTTTTTTCAAAAGGCCACCACATTTGACGGAACGAAGGTTTCTAAGAGACCTTGGAGGCATTCGATCTAGAATTTCATTATCTTTCTAAGGGTTATGAAACTGTTCCGAAACAGTCAATGAGCTTTCAGAAAATAACCAGAATTTGCGACCCATGCTTTTTGAGATGGTCAAGTTTTACGATTTTTCAAAACTTGCATATCAATCCTCAGAAGGAGATCAAGTAACGATTCGATAGAGTAAACCTTATAGAATACAGCGCTGCTTTTTTCTCTTTTTTCTAAGTCGCCGTAATTTTTCAAAAGATCTTTCGACAGAACCATCGAATTTTGACAGGCCTACGTCAGCCAAAATCGCATCAAACAACGGTTATTCGGAATTTGAAACTTCCAAGATAGTACTATGAGTTAGCATTAATTTTACAAAGCAAGTGAAGGTTTACGGGTTCGAAATATCCAATTTCGAGTTTTTCGGGTACAGCCTGGGGCTCGCTAAAAAAATGAGTTATGGTGATTTCTCCCCGGTAATCAAACGAATCGGAAACAAAAAACACCAGTTAGAAAGAGGAGTAAATGCTGCATGGAATAGTGCGCGAGCTGCTCTTCTTTTGATGTTCTACGAGGATTTAGCTGCCCAAGTATGGAAATCGGTAACATCAGTTAAAATTCTGTTAAAAATGTATGAAAAGCTATGAAGAGGAGGAAAAGTAGTGCTATATTCTGTAAGGTTTACTCTATCGAATCCTTACTTGAACTCCTTCTGAGGATCGATATGAAAGTTTTAAAAAATTGTGAAACTCGACCATCTTAAAAAGCATGGGTCGCAGATTTTGGTTATTTTCTGAAAGCTCATTGACTGTTTTGCAAAATTTTATAACCATTAGAAAGAGAATGAAATCCTGAATCGAATGCTTCCGAAATCTTAAAAATCTTTGTTCCGTCAAATGTGGTGCCCGATTGAACAAAGCGAATTTACTTTTGAAACGACCTAATATTTGATTACTAACTGAGTTAAGTTTGTGCTGATCGAGCTCTTCTTTCAAAAGTTATGATTTTTTGAAAAAAATTCCGAAAAATCACTTTCCTAAGAATTCCTAAGAAATTGATTTTTCGGCATTTTTTTTCAAAAAATCATAACTTTTGAAAGAAGAGCTCGATCAGCACAAACTTAACTCAGTTAGTAATCAAATATAAGAAGAATTAGGATAATGGCTTTTCCGGATTTTATCGCGCAGTTTCTAGATTTTTGGAATTGTTTCTCAAATTCCGAATTTCGGATGTTTTCGTTCTTTCATTTTTATCTCTGCAATCTGAACATGCTGGAAAGTCGCCAGGGGACTGTTGGAAACTACATGCTTCACGATTTCTAATAAAGCTTAGATTTCGCAAAATCGTCGTGACGGAAAGAAGTTATGATTTTTTGAAAATGGTGCGAACGAACTTTCGGTTCAACCTAATAATATGCCTTATATAGTCGAAGGTTTGCTAGGCTGTTTGTAGTAATTTGCACTCAAAAAAAGGTTTGGAAGGGAATTTTCCTGTTCAGAAGTTGTATCTCAAAAAAGAACGTGCGTTAGTTATGAAACTAATAGAATTGCTTCATTCTTTTTGTTGTGTCCTCCAACTTCGGACACTCTTCGAACTTTAGACTAGTCGGCACAGGAGCAGACAGTAATATTTATTCGAGAATAATAGAACAGTAAAAATATGTGACGAATGAGTGAACAGCCGAACTGACTAAGGCTTTGAGTAAGCGCCTTTTTAGCGCTTATTTCCCGCGCACTTTGAGGTTGCGATCAATTACGCGAGGCGATCACTATGAGGAACAACTGATCATTTACAATCAGTAACACAGCACTTCTCCTCTTAAAAAGAAAAAGAATCTATCATAAAACGATTGCAAAGAAACAAATGGAAAGGAACACTTGAGCGCAGATTATTTTGAATTAGATTGCTAAGAACTTATATCATAACCGGTTCCCCTATTTTTCTAAACTTGATTTCATAGCAAAGAAAATGAGTTGACGAGAATGTCTAGGTAGAGTTATGCTCCTTGTAAAGAGATAATTAAACAAAATAACTTCCTTTTCTTTTGCAAATTTTTTTCAAAGATTATAACCTTTTGTAGAAGCGACGATAAAAACAAGCTTTCTTTGGCCAAATAAGGTTGTGAATTCAAAAAGCGATGCGTACTTTTGTAGGGACTAGTTAGGGGTCATTGAATTAAGACGGCTGTACTCGGACTCCTACTTGAAGAGCTATGAGTGCTATCATAAACGACAGCATTTTTTGTGAGCCGATGTTACTTTTTTCAGCCAATCTACTCCTGCAGGATGGAAGGCAATGTGTTCAACTTTCAGCAAATTCATCCTCTTTCCCCCAAATGTCGGAGGAAAAATCACCGGTCAGTTTTTAATGAACTTCATTTTATAGTTCAGTAATTTTGCAATTTTAGAGACGAGAAAAATCCCTTCAAAGGAATCCCCTATTTGATCTTTAAACACATCTACAAGGGGGAATACGATGTAAGTTTTACATCTTGATAAATACAAAAGCCCGTATAACGTAGAAGCTGAGAATATGAAAAGTAATTCGCAAACGGCTTCGCTGGCCCTGACAATTTTATTCGTAATCAGCATGCTCCTTTACCCCCGGGAGACGGTCAAGAAGCCCGATTCCTCTAGAAGTCACCAATTAACCGCCAAATTTGAAGCTCTGCGAGTTTTTTCAAGATTACCAGAGAAACTCTTTTACTGTTCAGTTTACCAACTACCTAAATTTATCGCATGATAAGATTGACGGCTTTCGGTAAAAAATTGGCCAATAATCACGAAACTGACAAAAGCTGCAATTTTGCTGATTTCTGACCTTCTTGATTTATGTTGGAAGTTTAATCTGAGATAATGTCACTGTGCAACATGTACTTCGATCTGATATATCTTTGAAATTCTTAACTGCTTAGGCGTCATGTAATACTAAAAATGCGTTGACTGGTGTCCACTTGGTAATAAAAATCGCTTCTCATGACATGCACCCCCCTACCCCCCTGTGCCAAGTCCTAGCCCCGTAGCTCAAACTTTCTAGAAAAATCGAAAAAAATTGCGATCGATAACGAAAAGTAGTCTACGACAATCGCCCCGCCCCGTAGAACGTACATACATACATACATAAACACATACCATACCATACCATACCATGCCATACCACACCATACCATACCAACCGTACCATATCATAATATACCATACCATGCCATACCATACCACACCATACCGTACCATACGTACCATACCATACCATATATACCGGTGGCGGTCTCAGTATTTTGGACCGGGGACGGGCAAAAGATTTTTTTAATAAAGGTGCGTCGCGTTAGCCACGCTTTCCGAAGAATTTTTTGGGGTGCTTACCAGAATTTTTGCGAGTCTCCAACCCTAAAACCTCCCACGCCTCCAAGAAAATTTTTTGCAAGCTAATTTGAATCTTTAAAAAATGTTAAAATATTTCAAGTGTTCACAAGAATAAACAAGTCGTTTGCGCATATAACCCATATAAGTCAAAAATTTCGCGACTACACATACATAGGGTGTCCCCAAAATGTTAACACTGTTTGATTGTTAACAACTTCGCTGCTTTCATGTCTTTCGCCGAGTTTTAGGCGCCATTCTGTAGAGCGAGGTTCAACTTAGATTTTAGTTTGGAGCGAATCATCGATCGCTCTTCCTTACTGTAGAATTACGGTATGAATTTCTAGCATGTGGACCCATTGTGAAATACAGTGACCGCCAAAAAGTTGCGGACAAGCCGCCTTCCTTTTTTCATCGCTCATTTTCGGATGGAAAACAAAGATGAAAAATGATTGGATTGTATGAGGTGATAGAGCTTCTTAAGAGCTACAAGCCACACATTGCGCTTTCTGAAAAATTTTTATTACTCTAAAATACCGGTGAAAAATGAATTGGAAAAATTGAAATTGAATGCAGTCACCCCTCTAACTTGATGGATTGATAAATAAAAATAGGAGAAGAAGTTTAGAAGAAGCTCCGCCCCTCAACTCTAAACCCCGCCCACTTAATAAACAACTCATATATTAGGTCGTTCCGAAAGTAATGTCGTTTTTTTCAAACGTATGCCACATCTCGTGGAACAAAGATATGTAAGAGATTCTGGCAGCATTTGATGTACCATTTCATTCTCTTTCTAGTGGTTATGAAGCTGTTGCATTACAGTCAATGAGTTTCCAGAAAGGAGTCAAAATCTGCGACCTATGCTTTTTAAAATGGCCAAGTTTCACAATTTTTCTGAAATTTTATAACAACCTCAGAAGGAGCTCAAGTAATGGATGGATGGAGAAAACCATGTAAGCAACAGCACAACTTTTTTCAACTTTCCAGAGCTCGTCATAATTTTTGTATAGATTTTTTGATGGAATTATCGAATTTTAGCATTCTTGCTTCAGACACAAATGCATCAAACACCAATAAATCTTCGGATTTTGCAACTTACAAAAATGGATTATGGTTTGGCAACAATTTTACAAACCAAACTAGCATTCACCGCTTCGGTTTAGCAACTTTCGAAAATTTCGGGTACATTTTGGGGTACCTTGGACAAGTCGAATTATGATGGTTTTATAACGAAAAATTTGATGAATCGGGAACAAAAAACAATTGCTAGAAAGAGGAGAAAAAGCTGCATCGAATGACACCCGAGTCGCTTGCCGGCTGTTGTTCTGTGAGGTTTGACTTGACTAAATATGGAGTTTTATGGCATTGAGAAATTGATTGTAGAAACTCTGAGAAGCAAGCTAAAGAAAAGAAAAATTTACTCTGTGTTCTATATTGTTTGCTCTATCTACCTGCCACTTGTACTTTTTCGGAGATTAGGTACAAAAATTTAGAAAAATAGCCGAACTTGACCCTAACAAAAGGCATGAGTCGCAGATTTTGGTAATTTTTCGAGAGCTCATTAGACATTATGCAGTGAAATTGCAGCCACTAGAAAGAGGATGAGATGCTGCATCGAATGCTCCTAAAATTTTTGAAAATGTTGATTCCACGAATAGTGGTGTTCATTCGAAAAAAGCGACATTACTTTCGGAACGACCTAATAGAAATTTCGAAATTTTGTTAAAATCGCTATTTTTCTATATGAATTGTTCATATAGAAGCGGGGGCGGGGTTTAGAGTTGAGGGGCGGAAGTTCTTCTAAACTTCTTCTCCGATTTTTATTTATCCATCCATCAAGTTAGAGGGTTGACTGCATTCAATTTCAATTTTTCCAGTTCATTTTTCACCGGTAAATTAAACCGCTCTTATCTATGGGATTTTAGGGTATAACAATTTTAAAAATCTTTTCCTAAAAAAAGTCCGGAAATGGCCGCGTCACAATGCCGCGGACATTAATTCTTCGAACGCAAAAAATTTCTTTTAGGTCTTTTCTTGGGGCAAAAACAGAAGTTTTCCGGACAGGCAAGCATACTATGTTGTAGAGCTCATCGAGGACAACAATCTGGTAGTAGTTACTTCCAAAAAAACCCAAGCTTGAATTTTATTTTGTTTTTTTTTGAAAATAACTTCTAATTCCCCTTTTTGGGCCAAATTTCTTCGCATGGGTACCTATTCATGATGTCCCAACAAAGCTAATTAGATAAATTGGGTGCCTTTTGATATCTTCTATGCATCCGACGTGTGCTGTCGAGTTTCTTTGCTGAAAATGGCTCTTGACAGTGAGTGCACATGACCCCACTTGCATCTCACCACTGACTTGCACCGCTTTGCAGGCCTGTAGCTCGGCCGGCAGTCACTTTACGAACCTGCAAGTAGGCTCATTCGAAAGAGCGTGAGTGCTTCGACACGACTATGCAAAAAAGTTGGGTTTGAGAAATCCCGGAGATTTGGCGGATGGGGTGATAAAGCGCAGCTTCAGTTGTAAGTTGATGATTTTTGAGTTAAAGTTGAGCAAAGCTCCTTTCGTCACCAGTGCGATCCTGGAAGCTTAAAACCGTAAATTATCTTGCAATAGACCCATTTCGAAGCTCTAAGACTGTTCTGATGTTTATAAGAGCCTTCACTCCATTCACCTCTACGGCTGCGCTTTCACCCCATCCGCCAAATCTCCGGGATTTCTCAAACCCAACTTTTTTGCATAGCTGTCGAGGAACTCACGCTCTTTCAAATAAGCCTACTTGCAGGTTCGTAGAGTGACTGCCGGCTGAGCTACAGGCCTGCAAAGCGGTGCAAGTCAGTGGTGAGATGCAGGTGGGGCACGCAGTGTCAGAAATCTTTCAGCCAAGAAACACACCAGCACACGTCGGATGCATAGAAGATGTCAAAAGGCATCCATTTTATCCAACTAGCTTTGTTGGGACATCTTGCATAGGTTCCCACGCGAAGAAATTTGGCTTAAAAAGGGGAATTAGAAGTTATTTTTGAAAAAAAAGCAAAATAAAATTCAAGTTTGGGTTTTTTTGGAAGTAACTACTACCCGATTGCTGTCCTCGATGAGCTTTACAGCATAGTATGCTTACCTGTCCGGAAAACTTCTGTTTTTGCCCCAAGAAAAGACCTAAAAGAAATTTTTTGCGTTCGAAGAATTAATGTTCGCGACATTGTGACGCGGTCATTTCCGGACTTTTTTTAGGAAAAGATTTTTAAAATTTTTATAATAAAAATTTTCCAGATAACCTTGGAAAGAAGCATCACCAAAAAAGTGAGAATTTCATATTAGAAATCAGCGGCTTCCATTACCATAGTATAAGAGTTTTTGGCTTGTTTAATTTTTTACGCGGCAGAATACGGCCTCCAATGGCTCAAATTCCTTGTCGAAGTTCCTACCGTAATCCTACAGTAATAGAGAGCGACCGATGATTTGCTCCATACTATAGATCTAAGTTGAACCTCGCTCTACAGAATGGCGCCTAAAAGTCGGCGAAAGACATGAAAGCAAGCCAGTTATTAACGATCAAACAGTGTTAACATTTTTTTGGGACACCATGTACATACAGCTTAACATATAAAAAAAAGCAATATAAGTATCGAAATGCGGAGAAGTTCAGCTGTCTATCTGCTCACACACTTTCCCGCATTAGCTTTCTCAACCTTTAAAACATCGTGAGTGCCATTTGAGGACGTAGACCCGGATAGGGACTATCCGGTGAAGGGTCGCTTTGGATGCTCTACCGCAGATAACCATCCAAACATGGTGACGTGTGTCTACGCAGAGGCCAACAGCGAAGAGGATGTATGCCTGTATCCGGATAAGTAAGTTTTGCTTTCCAATTTAGTTAACTGCATTTTCGCTAATCACTTCTAATGGGAAGTTACCAAGCGTGATATTATTTAACTCAAGTTTTTTTAATTGCGAGTTATACAAACAAGTAGTGATGAGTTCAACTTCCCAAAAAAGCATTTTTGAACTATGTGTGCTGAGTTCCCTACAAGATCGTATTTCTAAAAATGCGAAAATTTGAATTTCGAATAAAACTTTCTTCGGAACAGGAGCAATGCTCAGAGAAGCATAGGTGCAATGGGGGGAGCCGGGCCCTCTCCAGATAAACGGGGTCTCCCCTACTCTTGTCCTTGTCGGGTCAAGAAGGTAAGTGAACCCTGAAAGCGAGATGCCTTAATAAGCCACATATCGAAAGCTGAGGTCATGGAGAGTCAAAATGGACCGCCACTTATTCAATAACTTAAATGTTCCTATTTCTTTAAACCTGGGCATAGTATATAATCTACAATTTTGCTTCGCCGAACAGGTTTGTTATGATGGTATCTGTACTCGAATGGCCTAACGTTTCGGCGCGTTCGCCGTCCGCAGAGGCCTAAAAACGGCACAAAGCATCATCCACAACACCACCATCAAATGTCTCTTCTACCTTAGCTAGTTTCGACCTCTTTCCTAGTTCAATCCGCAAAAATCCTCAAAAACCGAATTGTAATAACCGTTTATACCACCGCTATGTGAAGTGCCCGCGCCGGAAGAATATGACAGTACGACTGGCAATATGTGACAGAAGCGGACAAATGAGCTACACTCCAATGGGCAGATAGAGAGTTATCTACGAAAGGCGAATAAAGTCTCTCTAAAATCTGCGTGGTTGTCCATCACTGCCTTCCTGCCGTTCGTAGCACTGTGTGAGCTATAGATGGTAGATGGACTTTATCCGCCTTTCGTAGATAACTCTCTATCTGCCCATTGTAGTGTAGCTCAATTGTGTGCTTCTGTCACATATTTCCGGTCGTACTGTCGTATTCTTCCGGCGCGGACACTTCACATAGTGGTGGTATAAATGGTTATTACAATTCGGTTTTTGAGGATTTTTGCGGATTGAACTAGGAAAGAGTTCGAAACTAGCTAAGCTAGAAGAGACATTTAATGGTCTGGTGTCATGGATGATGCTTTGTGCCGTTTTTAGGCCTCTGAGAACGGCGGACGCGCCGAAACGTTAGGTCATTCGAATAAAGTTATCACCATAACAAACCTGTTCGGCACTAGCAAAATTGGAGATTATATACGTCACTTAATTCTATCTCTTCTTGGCAGTAAGATATGAGGAAGTTATCTGACTGATATATCTGATGATTCGCTTCAGCTGACAGAAAATGCGTTTGATTCTCTTTCATTTCAAAAAAATAATCTTATCAACGCAATCATTTACTATTCACGACAGTCACTGTATATCACGCTGAGCAGTTTTGCACTTTTTTGGTTTTTACGAGCATCGACAACTTGGAAATAGACTGACCATAAAGATAGACTTACTTATCAGCTGGCTTTTTTTTGCTTCTCTTACAAGCAAAGGCGTCTATCTTTTTATCTATCTCAAAACTGTAAATGCCTTAGAAAAGCTTAAGAGCTGAAAATAAATGTTTAAAAAATTCCAAAAAAAAAACATGGAAGAAAGAGGCAGCAAACAAGCATCAACCACTATGGAGCTTGGGAAAAGAATCAAATTTTTTTGATTCTTATAATCATTCTTGAAATGTTTGAATCTCCAATAGCTTTTTGATCATAATTCACTCTAAAATTATCTTCCTTAATTAGCCTCAGGTGGAGGGGGTCATCTGAGTTCTGGCTCAAACGTGAGGAGGTAAGATCCATTGCTCTCCCTATCGTAACTATATAGAGAAGTCGGGTTATTTCATGTTGTAGCAGAGTTCGAAATGAGAATCAGATCCATACTCGTAACCCAAACTATTGCTACCTATGTAGTCTTCAATAAGTTTTCCAGCTTCTCTATAGGAGAAAATTTCTAAGTGCTTTGGATTGTTGCTATAGAGAGAATGAAAAACTTTTGGGTCTGGTTGCTTATCAAACTCACTGAACATGATAGTTTGTTTCGTTAATAAACTCAGTCATTATATATTTCATCCTTCAGGGAGCAGAGTGATGGAAGATAGATGCCACCCACCTCCAAAAATCAACACAGATTCAACAGAAGCAGATTTGTGATCTCGTTTTTACAGAGAATAAATCTAGTTGCAGTGTTTCCATTGTATTTACTGAATCAAAGGCAGTGTCCCGGTAGATTTAAGTTGTCAGAAAAATGGCTACAGTTGCATAAAGACTTACCTGCTGGCTCCCTGGCCAATTCGCCAGATATGTCTAATGTCCGCACTGTAGAGTTTAGTGATCCAGCCTGTACGGATTCCACACTATAGCTCTGGCAATCTCTGGTGCTAGCCAGTGCATAGACGGCGCCAAGTTCTTCGTGCCAAGAATTTGCACTTCAAAGCTGAAACTAGTCCGCGTTTTTCCCGAAAGTTTAATACTTTGAGACCATTTTACGCGCTCACAAGTTCGCAGTCGGGTAGAGCGGAATGAAAAAGCTCGACTAATGCAAAAAAATAGAATTCCAAGATTTTTCGGGACACTGGTCGGTGCATTGTGATGACGTAACTTGCTATATCTGCTCCTTTTAACGCAATAAACTTCTCGTTTTCTTGTTAAAACTTAATCGTGTAAAAAGTTCTGAATTGTGTGAAGTAGTACCTTTCCTAGATTTAGTCTTTTTCCAAGCGACCACCAAACGATCTGAGGTCGTCTGGAGCATATATTTTTGTAAGTTCGCATAGGTTTCGGATTTTTTTTTTATCATGAACGGATTTTCCGGTCAAGAATTCATCCCTGAGCACGGAAACATTTTCATGTCGTTGCCTTTCCTTTGTTTTTTGTTTCGATTTCTTCATAACTCACCTTGCAAGATATCGTGCTCCAATGACAGGCTTTTCGTCTGCACGTCAGTTCCGCCGCTCAAGCCGCGTTCGAATCTTGGGGCCCATAAATCCCCGGCTGCTGAAGATTCCCCGCGGCAAAAACAGAAGGGTAGGTGTGGGGGCAGACACATGGCTGGATGCTTCAAGTAACACTGCGCCAGGAGCGCTGCTGTTGTATCGGCTGAAGTACGTTGCGGCGTCGCTTCGCGAAAATTTCGCGCCGATCGTACCTCCTGACCGTTCCCCAGGCTTTTCTGCATGCATAGAATTCATTTCTCTTTCAATTTTCGCTTATAGTCCACGTTTTTCCTTTCATTAGTGACTCTTTTTATGTTTCCATCTACTCCTAAGTTGATAGTCCATTAAGGGCTAAAGAAACTTTGTAAAATTTTCGAGAGTCAAAGGGGACTTCGTTTTCGAAAACCATAGGAATCGACACGTGCCGCCTGAGTCCAGTGTGTTAGATCAAAGTTTGACTGACCTTTTCTCTCAGATGTCAATAAAAAAAGTCAGAATGATTGATTATTTGTTTACATAATGTTTACGCATGATGCAATTTTCGGTTTGACAATGATAGAAATTCAAGGTCTTGTGTAAACAACATTACAAACTCGCAAACTTCAAAGTACGTGATCACTGCTTTTGTCAAGTACACATCAAATTTCGTTTTATTCCTAACAAAACTGAATTTTTTTTTTATAAAGAAAGACACTATATAATACAAATATGCAAAAGCTCCGTGTTCGAAGCGATATTTTTGGTAGCTTGTTTGCGCGAAACTTACGAGAGAGCACTGCATCTGCAAACACGTCTTTTAGATTCAGACACCGCAAAATAGTTATCATTTGTGGACATCAGCGCCAGTTCTGCAGCTGGCGTTTTCAACTGCATTTTTTGTAAGTATCAAAGATGCATTTTTGGTTGCAAGTGATACTATGATAAGCTGTGACCAACAATAATTTCTGGTCCTGAAACAATCTCCTTTTTTGAAGGCATGACTTATTCAATGTTAGTTTCACTGAAGGCAACACTTTTTTTTGTTTGTTTTGAAATGATCAGCAGTGAATTGGCAAGGTTATCAGCTTACATTTTTTACATTCAAAAAACTCAAATACCATTTTTGGCCATCGGAATGAATTAAGTTGCATTTAAAAAAAGCTCTTGGTTGAGCTTTCCCGATTCAAGAGATGCATAGTGTAATAGAATCAATCAACATCTTTGGCTCTAAAAGCTAGCAAGAAAACACACCGTATGACTAATTGGAAACGCTCATTTTGAACTCAAATGCTGTTCAAGCAGTGCCTCCAGATCGCAGTGCTTAAAAGCAGAAAGCTTAAAGCCTTTTCATTGAAGAATATGGTCCGATCTGGCAAGTTTGGCCATGTCGGGCACGGCAGTCGGGCACGGCAGTCGGGCACGGCAGTCGGGCACGGCAGTCGGGCACGGCAGTCGGGCACGGCAGTCGGGCACGGCAGTCGGGCACGGCAGTCGGGCACGGCAGTCGGGCACGGCAGTCGGGCACGGCAGTCGGGCACGGCAGTCGGGCACGGCAGTCGGGCACAGCAGTCGGGCACGGCAGTCGGGCACGACAGTCGGGCAGCTGTTCCCCATCACAACGAGTCGGGCGGCGCTGCCCGTTTGGGACGCGCATCCCAGACTTTCATAAATCGCGGGAAGGGCGCTCTCGCCTGTGCGGGCTCTCGTTGACAATGGCCCGCGCAGCGAGTGGGAGTTTGATAAATACCGCTCCCTGGTGTCTTATGCCTTTCTGTATGATCGAACTCAAAATTGGTTTTTTCAGCCCTATTGATTAATATAAAACCTACTCTTTTTCCTTTCTCACAGCTATGCTTGATAGGAACGCTCAAAAGGTAAACAGTGCTTTTATTGCATGAGTACATGCTACGGCTCTATCACATTTGCTTTGTGCCCAGTTGATAAGTTGAGAAGTCAAAAGTTCAAGAATTCTAGAACAAAGCAGTTGCTGGAAGCTAAAATCGCAAAATCGCTTTTTATACTGCGAAAAAATCTCTCAGTAAGTATGACGGATAAAATGCACTCGCACATGACTAACAATAAGTTCACTGCAAAAGCAAATCACGTCGGAATTGCATCCGTCAGATCACTTTTCTGATGCTCTAAATTGATATTAGGAAGAAAAGCCTTTTATTATTAGGTTCAGGACCACCTTAATTATTTTAATTGGGTTTTAATTTGAAGCGCTATGAATGTTTTTTTGGAACAGTTCATACAAATTTAGTGACAAAAGTTTTGTTTGGCAGTACAAGTGAACATGTTTGTTCGACAAATACTTTGATTGCTAGTTCTAGCGTATGTGTCTACAATGACCCCATTAATACTATCTACAGAAAAATTTGGATTGTTTGATTCTTGACAGATTTCAGTGTAAGGCCTTTGAGAATGAGAGCGCGCCAAGTTGTGAAATCTTTCTATGATTATTTTCCGAACATGATTGCACCAGAGCATAACATCTGCAACTACTCATGCCTCCCTTATTGGCGGCTGACCCTATTGAAAAAGTTGAGCATCTTATTTTAACGGTTGAACCATTAAAGGGTATCATCTCGTGACACGTTAAAGGGCTCTACGGCCAGAGCTGATTAATTCTGGATTTTGGGAGAAAATTTTGGATGTTGTTTCGCAGAGTTACGATTTGTGCAACGCAATTAATTTTGTGGAGGAAAAAAAAGGAAAGAAAGAAAGAGGAAAACAATGGAAGAAGAACAAAGCGTTCTACCTTCTACTCAAAGCTTCAGCAAAGATGAGAAAAATTTGTCAGTGGTCTTCGAAAAACTACGAAGAGTGGGTTATTCGGGAGAAAACAAATATGATATGAAAAATCGAAAATCACAAATTCAATGACTATGCTACCTTATACATATCTGTACATCGGCTCTCGTATCATGATTGTTCGTTGCACACAGGCTTGTGTCGATGGTTTTGCGCAATACCTATCTATTGCTTTAACGCAGCAACCTATAACCCCGCGAGCCAAATTCGCTCTTGCGTGCTTGCGATAGGCATATGCGTGTCGGCACTCCAAAACGACATCGACGCTAGTCAAGCAAGATTACAGCGCTTTGGAAATTCTCAGTTTATAAACAGCCATGCAAAAATTACATAGGTTTTCATAGTTCCAAATGACTTTAGACTGCGGAGTTGGAGAAAAAGATAGAGTTTGCATCAACATAAGTTTTGTCGACGTATTCCAACACATGCCTTGATACTAGATTATCCCATAAGTCTTTTCATATCTGATTTTTTGAAGGCATAATTCCGCTCTTCTTAGGTTTCCAGTGGGTTGCGGGAACCATTCAAAAGATCAAAGCAAGCTCTACCATATGACTTTCAAAAGTTTGTACCAGGCTTAATCTGCATCGAGTTGCAAGGCAAAATGGGAAAAAATCCAAAATTCAAAAAAAAAATGAAAATCGTATCTCAATTCAAAAAACATTCTGCGAAGTTTCCACTTGCTCGCGTAGTATAATCTTTCCATCAGATACCTATATATAAACTTGTGGCATTTTTCTGATGGCTAAAAATCGAGAACAAATAATGCGCTCAATTTTTAAGTTTTACCTGTAATGAGTCTATGCTCCTCGCAAAAATGCGATTATATAGCTTATCATTATATAGCTTATTCACTCAAGACTTTCACAAATTTGCGCCCTTGTAGATGCCTTGATTCCTGAGAAATATCAGTTTGAAGGTACGAGTAAGAAAAGACTTATGGGACAACTTATTTGGCCTGTATCTAACATTTTCAAAGTTTTCTGTGGCGAGCTGGAGTTTTCTGCCTTTCTCGGAGACGACTCCTTCCAGAACCGTTTCGCCTAATAGATAGTTTATCATTCGAATGTTTTTTCCGCAGAAAAAATAAACAAAAGCAAATTCATCTAAATTGTGCTAAATCACCGAAAAGCTTGGTACTCTCTTCTCAGAATGCCGTAAACAGAGACTGCCAGTTGCAGAGTTCCATGAAAAGCTTCCTTACTATAAGTGCTGGCAATGTTTATCAAAGGTCATGGTAATGGTTTGGCGCTGAGGGAAAAGCTTTAAAAAAGATGGAACCACTTTTCCTTACAGATTTGAAGACCAAATGCATTGGACCTTAATTTGAATGATGCCAAAATTTCCGAGAGATTCGAGTTTAAAAAAGTTCAATTTGCCTCTTTTGATTCAGTATTGTGAAGACATACATAAGGTAAGATTTC